AAAGAGATCTAGGAAAGTTAACACATGCCAGATTGAGTCACTCTGCTAAGGAAATGAGGAGGAATTAGACAGATGTCAGTACATATTTAATGACATAGAAGCTTAATGAAGCAAGTGATTATCAGTATTTGCTTTAAGTTACTGAATATTCACCATTGTTAAAAATCACTTTGAGAAGAGCTGAATTGTATATTGCTGGGAATGAAGAGGAATATCTAAGGTTAGGATTAATTGCAAATTGAGAACAAACTGAGATTCAGGGGAGAATTGTATCCAACTATTAGTGTATATTAAAAGAGCATTCCAGGTGGTAAATTCACTGAATATCAGTGGTTTGAGAACCATTATATGAAGCATTTTCTGAGTTTTTGCAGAGTTGTCTGTTCACATGGTACTTGGTCTTCTAGTTTATGTAGCTAAATCACACTGAACAAAGCTAAAAATAAGCTAATTTTAGAAAAGTAGTGAGTGTAGAGGTTAGGGTGCATCTACACAGCATCCAAAACTCGAAATAAGATACGCAATATATGTTATGCAAATTGCGTATCTTATTTAAAATCTATTTCAAAATGGCTTATTTTGAAATTTGGCACATCTACTCAGTGTCAAATTTCAAAATAACGCACTAATTAGGGCCATCCCTTTCCCCTCATGCAATGAGGTTTACTGGGATGGCGAAATAGCGCACCCGTTATTTCAAAAAATATTTTGAAATAATGGGTGGCTTGTGTAGACACAGGATAGCTATTTCAGGATACCTCCAGTGTCCTGAAATAGCCATGCAGTGTAGACCTACCCTTAAGTTGTCACAAGTATGTTGCGTGTTTACAAATAGCAGAGGAAATTGTCCAGGTAATTGATCCATGAGGCACTCTCTTCACTAAGATGTGGTCCAAGCTATGGAATAGGTTTGTACTAAAAATACATTCAATACTTTCTAAACATTATGTTTACATATAGAAAGTGAATGATGTACGCCATCAGTCAGAGATAAGTTGGGCCACAGAGCCATCTTGCTGTTATGCTGTGATGGACAACAATGTTTGAGAGCCACACCACAGGAACTATATTGTTGTGATGGATTTAAAGTGTAGCAGCCTGCTGATCTGCAGATTTTATTTATAGTAAGTGGCGTTCTAGCTCTGGGAGACAGGGAAAGGAGTAGAGACAGAGAGCGAATCAAGCGGATTCATGGTGCTACGAAAGTGCTGGAAGGGAGGGGGAGGAGTAGGAAGTGCAGGGCTCTGGTGCCCGTGTGTGAGCGGTGTAAGGGGGAAGGGAGCAGACAGGGGGGCTGTGGGGTTTCTGCAGCTCACTGAGATGAAGGAGGGCCACTCACATTGCCCACTCACTATTCTTAGTTGCTGCCTTAAGGGCTCTTGGGAGCAGGCTCATTGTTTGCTCCTGCTTCCCTTGACACAAAAAAGGAGGATTAAAAAAAATAAATAAAAGGAGGAGGAGGAGGAGCAGTCAGAAAGTGACACCTCGATTCCAGTCACTCCTCTGCGCTGGTCTGTATACACCCTAATGGATAGCTTGGACTGCTCCTCCTCATGCACAGACAGCAGCCCTGACAGAGTTCATGCAGACTGCCTGAGGCGTCTCCCTAGATGGTGCAGCTCTGCACCAGCTCCTACATCAAGCAGTAGACTAGCTGCCACAATCTAGCCCTAAGACTTTAGTTTAAGAAACAGAAAAAAACCCCAAACAAACTAGGAAATCAGTTGTTATAGAGCAGAGCATGATCCCAATGAAGTAAAATGGGCATCTGCCACTGAATTTTATCAGGCCAAGATTTTAGCCTTCATCATCGTAGGACAAATTGAAGTCAGTGGAAGTGCACCAGCATAAATGAGATAATAGCATGGTCTGATGTGTTGCTCCTTCCTACAACTGAAAAATATATTGTAGAAACCTGGAAGAAACAGAAATAGGAAATACCAAGTTAATCTTTCTAACCCATTTCCCAGCCAATGTAGGATTACACCCACAGTAGGTTTTCTCTAGTGTTTTCTCCAGATCAGTTTTAAATATCTAAAAAAAACAAGAGAACTTTCACTGCATCCTAATGTATTTGCAGGCTTTGTGCTTTTTCCTTGCTTGGATGCAATTTCTCCACTCTGGTTTTGCTCACGAAGAGCTGTTTCTTGCTGATTTGTTCTTTTTTTTGCAGTGATTTGTGGGTACCAGCTTCCAGAATTTATGAGATCACAGGTCAACTGAAAGATTATAGTTCACAAGTGAAGTGAAAGACTAAATGTAGATGAAAGAGAATAATCTGCACACCAAAAAGCCTTCTCTTTTTCCCTCCTAACACTAGTGTCCCAATACTGAAAGGTTCTAGACTTTTTCCTGTCACCAGTAAAATAAAGCAATACTTTATTTGCATGTGCCTGTGTGTTTATTCAATACAGCTGTTAAATAAATCTACCTGCAGTCTGCCTACAAAATTTAATACATGGTCATTATTTTGCCTGTAAAAGAAAGAAACACCTTTTAATACAGGCAGTCCCCGGGTTACGTACAAGATAGGGACTGTAGGTTTGTTCTTAAGTTGAATCTGTATGTAAGTCGGAACTGGCATCCAGATTCAGCCGCTGCTGAAACTGATCAGTTTCAACAGCG